TGGACACTGAGGACCCAAACTCAAGTCCTCACGCTGGCAGAGTATTCACTTTACCCACTAAGCTGTCTCCCAAGCCCACCACCTACCCATTTTTCTCCTCTCTCATTTAAGACCAACTTTTGCTATAATTCGCAGGCTGGCCTCAACCTCTGGGCACGCTGCCAATCTTGGCTGGAAGTAGATATTTGAGATCAGTAGGCCCATATGGCAATGATTCTCTGAATGATCCTGGGTGCATCATCCAACCCTCTGAGCTTCTGTGTGCTTATCTAAAATTGGCAATAATCTGTCCACAAGGTAGCATATTTGAGAGGACAGAATAACACACTGCTGAGAGATGCTATGTCTGTCTGAGAGGAAAACCACAAATGCTGTTATCTAAATAAGGTCTGCTTTCAGCTGTATCCCACGGTGACCACTACACAAGCATCCCCCAAATTTAGAGAAGATATGATGGCTTGACTTTTATTACAAGCTATGTGGCTTCCATGAAGATAATACAAGGGGCTAGCATTCATCTCAAACTAGTGAGAGAGGTTTTCTTGAGTAACAGACACAAGCACAATTAGTCTTATGCTGTTCAAGAGAGACTGGAGATATGACTCGCAATTAAGACTTGCTGCTTTTGCTGAGAATCTGGGTTTGGTTTCCAGCGCCCACATGAGTGCTCTCACCCTTTGTGATTGCAGTTCCAGGGGGATCTGATGCCCTCTTCTGGCCTTCTTGGGCACTGGATTCAAGTGGTGCACAGACACACATGTAGGCAAAACACTCATAAAATAAATAAATCTTCAGAGGAGACCTGCTCTGCTCACCAAGGTCATAATGAATACAGAAAACAAATGCTGCGGACCTGAGTCCTGTTTTTAACCGCATAGGCATTATCACGCGAGTTCCTCCTATATGGCCAGTTTGGTGGAGCTGCATTGATGTTAGCAGGAGCAATTGTTGTGGGCATTCACTCGAGAAGACTGCTTGGACTTAAGTCAACAGAAAGTTTTTATTAGCCAGTCAATGACTACACTGGGTGTTAGGGATCCTATGGCAGCCCTAAGCCTTTCCCAGGGTGAGCTTTTTTTTTTTGATTTTCGAGACAGGGTTTCTCTGTGGTTTTGGAGCCTGTCCTGGAACTAGCTGTGTAGACCAGGCTGGTCTCGAACTCACAGAGATCCGCCTGCCTCTGCCTCCCAAGTGTTGGGATTAAAGGCGTGTGCCACCACCGCCCGGCTTTAGCCTGCTCTTTTACCTCCTCTAGGATTTAGTTCAATGTCACTCTGACCCCCACCCATCCTATTCAGTCAGCATATTTTGTCATGTTCTGCTTTTCCTGACAGCACTGAGCCCCAACCTGCTTTTAATATTCCTCACTTACTATCTGTTACCATGAAGTTCTCTTTATAATTTTTTAAAATTAATTTATGTGTATGCATATGTGCCTAGGTGAGCTTATGTGTACAGTATATGTGCAGGTGCCTACAGAGAGAGATCTGAGGTCAGAGGGAGAGAGAGAGAGAGAGAGAGAGAGAGAGAGAGAGAGAGAGAGAGAGAGAGAGAGAGAGCAGAAAGCAAACACGCATGCACAGAGGCCAGAAGGGGGCATCTGGTGTCTTTTCTATTACTCTTAGCCCATTCCTTTGAAGCAGGGTTTTGCCCTGAACCTCCCTGGTAGGCCTAAAGCCAGCAGGCTTCAGCTGTCCTCTTGTCTGTCCATCTAAGAGTTGTATTTACAGGCATGTGTATGGTTTCTGGCTTGTTATGTGAGCGTTAGCATCCGAGCTCAGGTCCCCAGATTGTACAGCAAGTGCCCTTAACTGTCTCCCCAGCCCTTAGCATGGACCTCAGCTCTATAGATCAAGGCAATTCATAGGAAAAAGCTGGTGTAACTCAATTTGGCAGAGGATTAAAGAGGAAACCCGTGGGGAGACAGCTTAGAGCCTGCCCAGCTCAGCCTCATGAGCATGCTGGGTACTCCTACTTCTCAGGTAAGCTCAGATCTTTACATTTTACTGCTAAAGAGACAGTACCAATCAGTCATCAATCTTGGCACTTGGAAGGCTAAGCAGGGATCGATTACCATGCACATAGGAGAGCCTGGGTTATAGAGTGAGATTATATCTTTGAAAAAGAAAACAAAGTAAAAAGAACTATAATGATATTTTATCTATATTTCAACAAATAAAGCTTGCCTGAAGATCAGAGTGCAAAGCTAAGCCACTAGAGGCCAGGCAGTGGTGGCACACACCTTTAATCCCAGGACTTGGGAGTCAGAGGCGGACAGATCTCTGTGACTTCAAACTATTCTGGGTTAAACAAGATCGATCCTGGTGGTTCACATCTTCAGTTCCAGTGTTTGGAAGTTACACACATTTAATCCCAGCACAAGGAGGTGAAGATAGAAGTGAAATGACTGGGCGGAGAGAGGAATATAAAGGGGAAGAGACAGGAAGTCACTGGAGTGTAGAGTCTGAGGTTTGGTGGAGACACAGTGCAGTCTAGGCAGTCTGAGCATTGGTAGAGGTAAAAGGTCTCTCTAGTGGCTTCTGTTTCTCTGATCTCTGTCTTTAACCCCTAGATCTATCTCTGGGTTTTTATTATTCATGCTACAAGAACCATTGACAACTTTCTCATGGGCAATCATCCAACTCGTAAATACCCATCCAGCTTACCTTAAGACTCAGCAAAGCTACTTTCTTTTTGAATAAGGTATTTCTATGTGTCCCAAACTGGCCTAGTCCAGGCTGGTTTTGAACCCACAAAGATTCTCCTAAGTGCTAGGATTATAGATAGGCATGTGCTTCCACACCAGGCTATTAAAAATACTTTTAATTAGAAGACAAAAGATAAAGAGCTATAATACTTTTACTTTTCCTGAAATTATATTCCTGATAATGTCATAAATATAACCTATGGTTGGGCACACATGACATTGTAATTGAACTTTACCTACACAAGCCTTCTTGGGCTGGGTGGTGGTGGCGCACACCTTTAATCCGAGCACTCTGGTTGCAGAGGCAGATGGATCTCTGTGAATTCAAGGCCAGTCTGGTCTAGAGTGAGTTCCAGGACAGCCAGGGCTGTAACACAGAGACATCCTGTTCTCAAAACAAACAAACAAGCCCCCCACCCCCGGAAAAAAAAATGAAAATGAAAACCAAAAAGCGTGCCTTTGCGGATCTACAGTTTGCCTCTCCTCTGAGAGCGAGTGTCAGTTCTGTCAGGGCTGACCTTACGCACGACCTCCAGGGCCAGCGCAGACTTTCCCCGCTTTACTCCTCATCTCAGGAGAAACACTGTCAATTTCCCCGTTTGGAAGGCAGCAAACTTCCCTGGAGTGCCCCGTGCTCCCAGAGAAGGCTGCTTCCTTCCTCCCCCTGGACCACTGTGTGTGGTGTCTGTAGAGGTGGGGTGGGTGCTGGCCTTGAGCCTGTGTGTCTGTGGGGGAGGGGTGGCTGGTGTAGAGGGGGTGGGTGGGTGCTGGCCTTTGAGCCTGTGTGTGTGTGTGTGTGTGTGTGTGTGTGTGTGTGTGTGTGGTGTGTAGAGGTGATGGGTGCTAGCCTTTGAGCCTGGGAGGGGGTGCTGGTGTAGAGGGGGTGTTTTTCTTATCATGAATTCTCCTAAGAGGCTGGCTGTCTATGCAGTCCATTGTTACAAATCCAATACTCAAATATTCCATTCTTTTCTTTTCTTTTCTTCTTTTCCCTATGCTTTCTAAATAAGACCCTTCTACTTCAACAGTGTCTTAAGGTTTTTTTTTAATAGAGCTGTTCTGGGGGTTCCTTTCCTGACCCTCAGTTTCAGGGGTACTTCCGTATTCATGATCTTACTTTTTTATAGTTTCAATTACCCCAGGTCAACTAATGTCTAAAAATACGGAGTGGAAAAATTGTATGTCCTTCTGAGTGACGTGATAAAACCTCCTACCCCTTTCACTTCATTCTGTCCAGACTATCACTTGGCCCTGTGCTCACAGGGTCCACAGTATGGGCACTACCTGCTCATTAGCCATCTGGTGGCCGTTCTGACAGACGGCGCCTGGAAGTAGGCTGTGTTTGCCCACAGGGTTCGGTACTGTCTGAGGTTTCAGGGATCTGCTGGGGGTTTTAGGATGCACCCGCTGAAGATAAGGGGAGGACACTGTGCCTTTAAGGTTTCCATTCACTCTGTCTCATTTGCAGATGGAAACTTTGTGTTTCATACAGCTCTTCCAGCAGGAGCAGCTGCCACTGCTCTTTTCCATTTTCAGGGTCCTCCCTTCCTCCCTCTGTCACTGTGCTTGGGGAGAGCATCTGTTTCCTCACCTGGCCCAGCAGAACACACTTTCCTCAAAGGCAAGATAGCCCTCTCTACGACCCCAGCAGCCAGCAGAGGGCGTGACACACTTGTGTGTTTATATACGGCTCCCCGCTCATTGTCACGTCCCATGAACATGGCCTCTCTGCACTTGGGTCTGACTTCTAGACCACTTCATGCTGTTTGTGATGGCAATGCCAGTCCATGCCTGTCACAATCGCACTCCTGATCAACCTAGAGCACTGTCTGCGTCCTACTGCGCATGGAGGCTTGGGAAGCCCAAGAAGGGTCCCCTCATTCTGAAAACTTGTCTGTTTCAAATCCATCTACCCAATCGCCTAGGCTAAATATTACCCCATCGTAACACACACACACACACACACACACACACACACACACACGGCAGGGGAGCACACTTCACACTTTGTTAATCATTAATAAACCTGTCAGGAGTATTAGTAACAGCCTACTCAAGTGAAAAATGAACTGCGAACTGTGTTGTGGAATATTAGCTGAAGATGTGTTACATTCTTTTATGCCGTGGGACGTTTGTTTAATGATGCAAATTGGGTTGCATTCTTTTACATCACAATTGTTTAACTCTGTGAAGCTGTGTTACTTTGCCTGTCTAAAACACCTGATCGGTTTAATAAAGAGCTGAACGGCCAATAGCAAGGCCGGAGAGGGATAGGCAGGGCTGGCAGTCAGAGAGAATAAAGAGAAGAATAGGGGAAGAAATGAAAAAAGGTGAAGGAGAGGAGGACATCCGGGGCCAGCCGCCCAGCCACCCAGACACCCAGCTGCGCAGCTGCCCAGCCACCCAGCCACCCAGCTGCCCAGCCGCCCAGCCACCCAGCCACGAAGCAAGCCAAGGAGTGTGAAGTCAAGAAAGGTCTTATCTACAGAAAGGTAAAAGCCCAGAGGCAAAAGGTAGACGGGATGATTTAAATTAAGCTAAGCTGGCTAGAAACAAGTCAAGCTAAGGCTGAGTATTCTTAAATAAGAATAAATCTCTGTGTATTTATTTGGGAGCTGGGTGGTGGGCCCCTCAAAGAGTAAAAGACAAAACAACAACAACAAAAACCTCATCAACAGAACTGGATCTGATCAAAAGAGATAAGGGACAGGGATGTGTGAGTAAATTCCAAGTGCAGTGACTAAGTAGGGGAAAGGGTGCAGAGAGCCTAGGGCTCTCTTTTTTCCCCTCCTGGTGCTTGCTAGGTTAGGCTTTTAAAATGGAAGTAGGAACTAATCCGTTTGTGAGCAGTAACCGAAAATTCTGGGCTAGCAAGCCCCACAACTTATCTCTCAATCACTCGCCTTTATATGGACAACATAACATTTGGGGAAAAAAAAATACCAGTGGGGTCATTCCTCCTCCCTGTGCCATCGTTCTACAGAGGAAGTTGGTCAAGGCTAAGGGGGTAGAGTTCAGGTCTCACAGGTCCAGACTGGCGGGCAGTGGTGGAGCGCTTCTCTATGCGGGGACTCCCAACAGCGCACAAACAAGTCCTGACAAGAGTCTGGCCTCCCTCTCAGGCTTTCCAAGAAGCCTGCTCTTTACACATAGCTTCATCTCGGAAAAGGCAACTCAAAGATTTTTGGACTTCGAAATAGGCCTTCAATTCAGTTAACACAAACCGGGTGTTAAAACATCTGTTTACCAAGGGAAACTCAGAGATAAATTTGTACATATTGTAGTTAAAGAACATAAAAACCCACAACCCTATACCAAACACACACACACACACACAAATTAAAACAAAAGATGCATTGTTGCTCTGTGGCTCAGGAGGGCGTGAACCCTACCACACTTCGGCTTGAGATCTATATAGTAGACCACTCCTGGTTTCCAGAAGGGTTTTCTCCCAATAGGTGGCAAACTTACTTACCTTCTTCTCGGGCATGGTCGGAATCCTTTAGGCTTTTTGTCCAATGAGGAACAGCGAGGGTAAGTCTGGTCAGCTGGCTGAGTGCGATCAGAAGTGGAAACATAGTCTAGCAACTGTCATGCAAACTAAAACAAAAGCAATAAAGACACATTAAAAAAAAAAGGAAACAACAGCAGCAACAACAAAAAACCCCTGTGCCCCCGTCTCAGTGGGTTAGGTTTGAGTGGGGACGGAGTCAGGGACCTGTTGTATCCAAAGCTGCCGTGCCACTGCGCCCCACGCGCGATATTTAATCTATCAGATCCAAGGCGCTCCAGGCAGGTGAAACCCCAAGGAGTGCCGGGGAGGAAAAGCTGCTCCCCGGAATCTGGAATCTGCGGAGGAGAGGTCGGACACTGGCCAAGGCAGACACGACTCTGGCCGGCCGCAGACCCGCAACTAGATATCTGAACGCCACCGCATAGGCATCCCCTCCCGGTGATTCCCCACTTCGCCAAACCGTGCCGCACCTGCGTCCCCGAAAACATGTTCCACCAGGCCTTGGGCGGGAACCGAGTTGTCTCCTAGTCGCCGGGGCGGCTTGGCCCTGCGTCGCTGACGCTGTTTGGATCCTGGCGACAGTTGGAGCCTGGTCCTTCACGGCGCCCGGGTGACACCAGCGCGCAGAGGAGGCGTCTAGGATCCGCGAAGGGGCGCTCGGGGTACGTGCGCGGCGCAGAGCCCAGCCGGCGTTCCCCGGGCCGCCGTCACCGCTGTAGGACAGGGAGGAGAGACGAGTCTTCGGAGGCCACCTGGCCGAGCTCCTCCTCCTGGACTCAGTCCTCCGCCCTGTGCGACCGGTTACAACGTTCTCAGCAGCTGGCGGCAAAAGCAGACCGCCTGGGGCGCAAGGGGAGTTTTCCCAATTTAGATGCAAAACTTGGGCTCCTGAGGTTACCTTTGGCCAGCTGTTCTCACGGGGTGGGAGTGGGGGCTGTCCAGGGGCTAGAACACAATATTCATCCGAGAAAAATGCACTTTGTTCGTGATTTGAATTGACACGTGACCAAAAATTAATTAATTACTTTAGTTCTTTGATGGGTTCATCAGTTCTGAGATGTCTGTAGAATCCTTTCAAGATGTCTGCTATGTCAAAACTTTTTCCATGATAAGAAGATAACAAGGCATACTTTCACCTCTTTCACTTTCATATTCTCTCTCTCTTTCCCTCCCTCTCTCCCTCCCTCTGTCCCTCCCTCTCATTTACAGTGGAAATTTCCAGAAGCTATTTGACGTGCGATGATTTCATCACTCTGTTAATGAATAAAACACCAGTGGATGAATGCTTGTGATTTTTAGTACCTCTTATTCTACGAGGTTAGTGTCCGCATGCAAATTTAAACAGACTTTAACAAATTGTGCCCATTCTCAGTATGTTTCTGCTTTTATTAGGTATTTTTGGTCATAGCTACAGGGACAACTAATAACTTCATCCTTCTTGGACAAAGTAATCTTAGATCTTGAACTTTTCGTTGAGTTTTTCAGAAACAAAAAGAACAATAAGCTCACTTCATTATCATGAGCTGAAGTAAAATTTTGGAAATGTCTCTTTTAAAACGTTATGTGAGAAATATCATTACAAATAAATAACTGAAGATGCCCTGAGCTCACCGTTTGAGAATGAAGATAAGGACCGTGCATCTCCACATTCTTCATGGCCAAGTCACATGCTCTGTCACTCTTGGGACAATATTTTACATTCTGTTCTCTGGCCAAAGTAGCCTGGAATTTGGTAAAGGTGAAACAAGACGAAATACCATTTCGATTCCTTTCTATTCTTCAATTAATTCTTTTTTTCCTCCCCACAATGCTATTATCTATTTTATTTTGATTAATGGAGCCAAGTATTTTCCCTAATTATCCATCAACACTTTTTGCTCCTTCTAAACAGTGTCTGTGCCCACCTTTCCCTCCGCATGTCCTCCTTGGGTTTTAAACCGTCTGGGTAATGAGTCTTTCCTCCATGTTTAAGCAATTGAGATCAGACTATGGAGAAGACAGAAATTTCTTTTTGCTGAACACAAGAACTGGAAATACCTTCCTGAGAATTAGCCATTCTTCTGCTTACTCGGTCAGTCCACTACTGGAAGCCCTGACCGTGGAGAGATAAACTCCATTTTCCTTCGGGAGAACTGGATCTTTCTGAGATCTGTATCTAAGAATGCAGGCCTGTCAAGTTCTCCTAGACAAGAGCAGATTTCTTCTTCCTGGAACTCACTCCCTACACCAGGCTGGCCTTGAACTCAGAGATCTGCTTGTCTTTGCCTCCTGAGTGCTGGGACTAAAGGCATGTGCTACCACCGAGATTTCATACGATGTGACTTACTCATATTCCCCTCTCCTACCCCACTCCTCCCATATCCTCCCTCACCTCTCTACCCACCCAACTTTGAGCCCCCCCTCCCCCAATCTAATCCAGTTTACATTGTCCAACTGCTCTTGGGAGAAGGGTTTTCCCTGCCCTAGCATGAGTCACACATCCTTAAGGAAAACTGAAGAATGCCGATAGCTCCTCAGCTGATGCTGGGCTCTTGCTTGGCTTGAGCTTTGGAAGGAGGGTCTTGGGCTTGTTGTCAGCTTCACACTGTTAGGAGAGGCGCATAGTGGGAAGCTCCCTGCTGTGAGGTCAGCAGCTGGGAATCTGACAGTATTCTTTGATAGAATGAGTCTACCCACATCTCTGGAAATTTGGGCTCAGACAATTGAGGCTTTGTGCTGGCAACAGATAACAGCCTTTATTCTGGCTGAGAGGGGAGTCAGAAACACAAGGCTGTTTCTCAGTGGTGCATTTCAGCCTGCATGTTTCCTAAGAAGGGCACAGTTGGCGCTCAACCACTATGGCACTCAGATATTCCGAGGTTAGCTGGGGGAGTGGGGGAGCTAGTAGCAGACTCTTGATTTCTTCTGTTGTTTACTTTCTGCATTTGAATTTTTATTTTACTTTTTAAAAATAACCACAATATTCTTCCACTTTTTTTCCTAAAGTGTTTTAGGTTCTCTCCTAGACTCTGGCGTCTGTGGAGTTGGGTCAGATGCTCTGATGCTCCTTCACACAGAGGGACAGCGAAGCGTGGAGAAGCGAATGTGAGGAGCCGGGGTCTTGACTCTTTCCAGTGCTTGCTTTGAATTATTAAGCAATGGGGCCTTTGGGCAAAGAATTATTTAATTTCAAAGGAAATAAGAGAAAACCAAAACAGAGAGCCATGCGATTAATGGACTTGGTTGATGTGTTGGTGCAGCTCTGGGTTTGAGCACATCACACCCACCCACTCACCTCTGTGAATTCAGGAATGAAATGGAAACTGGCTTCTGTGTGGGCACGAGGACGGACTCAAGGCTGTGACGGGAAACGCTCAGGCCATGGTCATGAAGCTCTTCGATGTGGGGTCACATCCACGTCCTAGGAGACACACGGCTGACTGTAGCAATGGACTGTTTGGAACAGGAGAGGAACTGAACATATGTTCTGTGACATTTAGCCTTGACATTTCAACAGCAATTGACTGCGGTTTTAATTTTTCCCAGTAAAATCAGCAAGCAGAAAAGAAAAGACTCCTACGGCTCGACATGAATTGTGTATCCGTGTGCAGGTATTTTCCAGAGCTATTGCATAGGGGCTAAAGAGTCTATTTTAAACATTTGCCAGGGGCCCTCTTGGGAAACTTTTGACAGAGTTTAGATATAATTTCATCGCTGAAGAGCAGCAATCATTAACAGGAAAACAATTCAATGAGATCAAGCACCCTGAGAAATGTCATCTATTTCCTCTCATGCTAGGAACCATTATGAGAACCACATGTTACGATTAGAAAATATACGTAACCTGATAGTCCTTCCAAGGCACTCGGGAACTTGAAATGGTGTGGTTTCTGAGCTGCCCCCAGGGCCCTGTGACAAGGACTTTTGTCACTGTTTGTCACAGAACTTTCGGTGTGCATGTGGACGTTGCATTTTTTTTTTTTTTTTACAGCTGTAATTAGTTCATTACTCCTGCCTAAACCTCTCGAAACTGGTATTACAGGTAGTCACCACCTGATGCCACACAATTCTTCTGGCTTCTTTTGTAAACACATATTCAAATAATCATAGTATTCCGAATGGACAGATTTTTTTAATGCAGATTTTATGCAGAATCATTTGCAAAAGCATACTTTCCATATAGGGCACATATAGGAACTGAAGCAAGCCCTGCATTTCCGTCCATGACAGCACCCACGCGTTAGCATGGGTGAGAGAAGCAGTCACCAGGAGAGCGTTTGTCTAGCTTTTGGAAGGCGCTGGCTGGGTTCCATTCTCCACACCAGTAGGATGAGGAAGAAACCACACAGCGAGTTCTTATACTCTTAGCTACTCTGGAAGCTGAGGCAGGGGGATCATGAGCTTGGAGTCACCTGGGCAGCACAGCTGCACAGCACAGTAAGGCAGTGGAGCTGCTCTTGGCTGTTACCTGTCTAGGTAACGCGCACACAGGGTTCCTTTGTTCTCTTTTATTTAATACTGAGTTATTTCATAGCATCCTGTCTTAAACTCTCAAATGTTAAGATATGGAGTGTAGGTTTTTCAGTAATTTGCTGATTGTTCTTCCCATCTGGATAGTCTTGAATCACCTGCTTTTTTTTTTTTTTTTTTGTAATTTTGGGATTTTGTTTTTCCGTTCTTATTTTTGTTTTGGATATAGGATTTTACTGTGTGCCCTAGCCTGACCTTGAGCACTAAAGGAGTTTTCCTGCCCTAGATGGGTGGGATTACAGGCAAGCACCAGCATGTGCGGCATAATTAAGAACTTCTATGTTTTTTTAAAACTGTTCTACTTCCTCAATATTCCTTTTTAAAGATTTATCTTCAGAATTTAGATTTGAAAAACATAAAAAATACATAATTATGAACACTGTCTTTTCTGACTTCCTGTTCCCTTTCTTTCTCTGTCTCTCTCTCTGTCTGTCTCTCTGTCTCTGTCTGTCTCTGTCTCTCTCTGTCTGTCTCTCTGTCTCTCTCTCTCTGTCTCTGTCTCTGCTTCCCGTGCTAATGAAACATGTCAGTCAGCTTCCTGCCTCTACTGCTGTGCCATGGCTTCCCCACCATGCTCTCCTCCTGGAACTGTAAGCTGAAATAAACTTTCTTCTCAGAAAAGAAAAGAAAAGAAAGAGAAGGAGGAGGAGGAGGAGGAGGAGAAGAAGAAGAGAACAATGTCTGTAAGCTGAAATAAACTTTCTTCTCAGAAAAGAAAAGAAAAGAAAGAGAAGGAGGAGGAGGAGGAGAAGGAGGAGGAGAAGAAGAGAACAATGTCTGTAAGCTGAAATAAACTTTCTTCTCAGAAAAGAAAAGAAAAGAAAAGAAAGAGAAGGAGGAGGAGGAGGAGGAGAAGAAGAAGAAGAAGAAGAGAACAATGTCTTTTCTTTATAAAGTCTCAATGTCTTTTCTTTATAAAGTCTTACACATTAAAAATTCTAAATGAATTAAATTATTTATTAAGAAATTATCTTTGGGCTAGGCATAGTAAGGTATGCCTTTAACGTCAACATTAGTGAAGCAGAGGCAGGCAGATCTCTGTGAGATTCTGTCTCAAAACAAATAACTTATTTTTTAATTGAAAATTAAAAATTTTATGTGTATGAGTGTTTTGCCTATATATAATGTCTTTGGACCACACATGTACCTGGTGTCTGTAATTACCACAGGAGGGTATCGGACCCCCTGGAACTGGAGTTACAGACAGTTGGGAGCTGCTAGGAGGGTGCTGGGAACTGAGCCCAGGTCCTCTGGAAAAACAGCCAGTGCTCTTGACCATTGTACCATCTCCCCAATCTCAAGACTATTGCTTTTGATATCCTGTTCTCTTTTTGTTTTTGTATATTCCTTTTCTCCCTTCCCAATTTTAACTTTTTTTCTCCTTTTATCCCTTTGAATTGCTTTAAAATTGGCCTGGTAAACATTCTAATGATTGTTATTTTTTATCTTTCCCTCCCTCCCTCCCTCCCTCCCTCCCTTCCTCCCCTTCCTTCCTTCCTTCCTGTTTTGATGTTGGGGTTGCATACCTCATGATGCTATACATGTGCTCTCCCACAGAGCTGTGTCCCGGAGTCTCAATCCTCAGCTATATTCTTTCCCTCTCTAAGGATTTGTGTAACTTTCTGTGCTCAACCATATGAAAAGACCATTTTTTTGTAAACTGAAAGTAAAACATAAATACAATAGTCCAGCATTTGTAGTTCCACACAGTTCAGCCTAACAGTTTTCCTCAGCACTCCACATTGACCGGATGGATGACCAAGCAAAGGCTTTTCTCATGAAAGGATTCTAGGAAATTTACATTTAGAGTCCAAGAACTTGGTATCAGCTGTGAATTCAGGAGGTTTTTTTTTTTTTTTTTTTTTTTTTTTTTTTGCCAAGTATTCCGGGCTCTCCTCAAATTTGTCACCTCTGCTCCTCCATCCAGAATGCTGGGGTGATAAGCATGTGCCACCACTGGACACAGAGTGTGTAATCACAGACTGTTACAGTACACTTACCGATTGTTCATTCCTTTATCCTTGTCACTAATGTGCTCCAGAGAAGGCTCAGGATAGTCTCCTGGTTCCCTACCTCAGTGCTATTCTCTACATGTTTGAACGGCAGTGAACGAAGTTACAGACACGCATCTTCTTGTGCGTGGTCCTATAGGTACATATACATAAACTAACATCTCACAATGCTACAGACACGCATCTTCTTGTGCATGGTCCTATAGGTACATATACATAAACTAACATCTCACAATGCTACAGACACGCATCTTCTTGTGCGTGGTCCTACAGATACACATCCACAAACTAACATTTCACAATGCTACAGACACGCATCTTCTTGTGCGTGGTCCTACAGATACACATCTACAAACTAACATCTCACAATGCTACAGACACGCATCTTCTTGCGAGCGGTCCTACAGATACATATCCACAAACTAACATCTCACAGATCTGAACTATTAGGAAAGAGATAAAAAGCTTGTTAACATATCACAGGTGTTGGAAGGAAGGTTATGTTCCTTAAAATGAATTGTCATTTCAGTCTCATTAGCAAATGTGGCATATCTGTGATTCCCAAGCCGTTCCCTCTGGCACTCTGCTATCCGCGGTGGGCTTCAGAACGTTTGAGCATTGAGGTTACAGATGAGGCAAAGGAGACTTCTTAATTAGGGAAAACACTGAAGGCTCCCGAGTTGCATCAGCTGACCCTGTCCATGGAGACTTGGACTTCAAGGTGCTTTTAGTATTTTAATATGGTAACTCATACGCTCGTGGCTTTGGACAAATCAAACGAGATCGTTCTTTAATGCACTGGCCAACAGGTGCAGAAGTTGTGAGAGATTAGTTTAAGGAAATTGGGTAAGTGAGTTAGGAGGGGCAATGAAACCAGGGTTTCTGGTTTCTACCGTAGTAGGATCTTGACTTCACCCCCTTGGCATTTGGATTCTACTTAATCATTCAGCAATTGCTCTTGTGATTCCTGCCCCATGAATCATGAAGGGAGGCTTTTGTTCTCTTTCGGTCACAAACAGGTGAAATTCAAGCTCTACCCTGACAAGGGTGTCACCCGCTCATGCAATGAACAACATGCCTTATATTTTCATTTAAAAAAGAAAATTCCAAGTATTTACTATCAAGGCAACTGTACTTTTTTTATATATATTTTTTTCCTCAAAAAAGGGTTTCTTTGTGTAAGCCTTGGCCATCCTGGAACTCACTTCATAGTCCAGGCTGGCTTCGAACTCAGAGATCCGCCTGCCTCTCCCTCCCAGAGTGCTGGGATCAAAGGCATGCTCCACCGCTGCCCAGCTAAATTTAATTTTGTTGTTTTTTGTTTGTTTGAGACAAGATTTCTATGTGTAGCCCTGGCCGCCGCCCTGAAACTCGCTCCGTAGCTGGCCTTGAACTCATAGAGATCGCCTGCTCTGCTTCCTGAGTGCTGGGATCAAAGGCGTGTGCCTCCACCATCGGGTTGCAACTGTACATATCAAAAGACATCACATAATATAGAAGGATGCCTTTCCTAAAGTAAGACTATTAAAGTCAGTTTGGTAAAAGCATTTTTTAATTATTTTTTTAGATTTATTTATTTTAGTGCATGGGTGTTTTGCCTGCGGGTATGTATGTGTACCTTGTGCTTGCCTAGTGACCACGGAGGGTGTTGGATCCCCCTGGAACTGGACTTAGGAACAGTTGTGAGCTATCATGTGAGTGCTGGGAACCTAACCCCAGGCATCTACCATAGCAAGGCTCTTAACTGCTGAGCCATCTCTTCAGCCCTAACGGAAGTTTCTGCATAGCTCACACCTATTAAAATGAACCAGTTAGAACTAGTTTGCTTTGTTTTGTTGGGTTTTTGAGGTATCACAATGTAGCTCTGGCTGGCCTGGAACTTGCTATGCAGACCAAGTTAGCTTGGAACTCACAGAGATCTGTTTGCTTCTGCTTTCTGAATGCTGGGATCAAAGACTTTTGTCACCAGGCCTGGCTGAAGAATAGTTTTAAATAGTTATGTTATAGGAAAATTTGCTGTGTTAACTGGTGATCGCTTGGACACTTTAATATTGTAACTATTTTCTTTGTATAGCATCTGCTGTGATACCTAAAGTTCTAAATGTTGATTTTTTTAAAAATTATTTTATTTTATATGAATTGATGTTTTGCCTTCATGGGAGTCTGTGTACCTCTTAGTGCCTGCTGCTCAGGTCAGAAGATGGTGTTGGATTCCCTGGAACTGGGGTTATAGATGGTTGTGAGTCACCATGTAGGTGCAAGAATTGAACCCAGGCCCTCTGGAAGAATAGCCAGTGATCTTAACTACCGAACCATCTGTCTAGCCCTTGTAAATGTGTTTTAAGACACATTTTTAGTAGCCACTCTGAAATAAATTCCAAATGACTTTAAAGAAGTGAAATTTAAAAAATAAATATTAAATGAAACACTAGAAGAAAACTGTGTGTGAGCCAAGCTGCTACATTCTTGGGGAGTTCAAGTGTACCCTCTTATAAAAGGGGCCTTATAGACTGTTTATATCCCCTTATAGAGTGGTGGTGGTGGGGTCACAAGACTCATCTGAGTACCCAGTCACTCCCTGCTACCTGTTATATGTAACTGTGTGTTAATTGCTTGAGACCTCAGGGAGGGGCTAGAGTAGAGAGTCCAGACCAACCAGAGGACCGAATCCTTCTGTGCAGTTACACGGAAGCTCTCATTCCTGCTGGGTAAAGGCTTTCCAGGTACTGCCTTTTGTGGGAGGAGCATCCACGCCTTTGTAAGTCATCCTATCTAAGCTTGTCAGGTAAGCCCAATAAACTCAATGGCTTCCCAAAGTAAACTTTGGTGGAACTGTGTTTGGTTTGGGACCCTGGGGAGCTGGGTAGATGCTGTTTACATCTCCTCTGAGGAAGGAATTTTAGCAACAAAAATGCAAGTCCCTAATATCCTTCTGGTATGGAAAGGATTCATAATAAAAGTGAAAGAAAATTATTAAAGAAAACAGTAATAGATTTTGCCTCATAAGAGTCAAATACATTTGGTTATCATGATAAACCACTAAAACAAATGATAAGTGGAAAAATATTAGCATTGTATATGAGAAATGAAAGGTTAAGATGATTAATCTTTAAAGTGCGGAAGTCAACATGTTGAGTAGTTGAGAGAGCTTGCTACTCTTGCAGAGGACCAGAGTGAAGCGGCCCACAGCTGCCTGTAACCCTACCTCCAGGGCATCGATGCCTCTTTCTGACCTCCACGAGTACCCGCCCACACATGGCACATACATACAAATAACTAAATTATAAGATAAATCTCGAAGGTATAACAAGCCAGGCATTATGACCACATGCCTTTAATCCCAGCGTGTAGGAGAAAGAGAGAGGTGGAACTCTGTGAGGCTGAGGCCAGCCTGGTCTATGTAGCAAGTTCCAGGCTTACGAACAGACAACTCATAAAAGAATAAACCGAAGTCATCAGTAATTTTAGGAGATTACTAACCTGTAGTAAGCAAAACAGTAAGGTTCGTTTCTACTGCTTTGGTTGGCATAAAAAGTGACACCATCAGGGCTGGGAAGGGCGTGGCTCCAGGGCGGTCTCAGTTCACAGCTGGAGTCATGGCTTCAGATGGCAGCTGTGCACTT